TAGATAGATAGATAGATAGATAGATAGATAGATAGATAGATAGATAGTGTGTGTGTGTGTGTGTGTGTGTGTTATATCATATATAACATTAACTCAGTGTCACCACGTACTTTTCTAAGGGAGGTGGTTGTGGGTGTCATCAAGATCACCTCCATTTTACAGATAAGGAAACTAAGCCAGGTAAGGGTGACTGGCCCACAATTCCACACAGCTGGTCAGCACAAGCACAGCTTGTACCCGAGGTCTCTGTCTGGCTCCAAAGTCATCAGCCCTACAGCACATGAGTGGTGTTTGTCCCAGACACCCTTCATCTGTCATGCAAGCAAGCAGAGGAACCTGCTTCAAAATACAAAACACAAAAGCAAACAGACAAGTTAGAAAGCAGTCACTCGCTTCAGTGTTGCTTATGACAAACAGTGTTCAGGCTTGCTTATGACAAACAGTGTTGTCATAAGCAAGCCGTTCTCAGTGACAGGCTTGCCTTAGAACGGGTTAACTGGTTAAAAATAACTAATGGTTTCTCCAAAATACTGGGGCAGGGAAACCAAACCAAAACTGTAGGACTCATGCCAGCTAAAGTTCAAAGAACTAAAAAGCCAATTTGGTCCTGTGTTCACTTTATTAGAAGAAAAAAAAAAAACAACTTTAAAACTGTTGAGATATTCTTTCTCTGAACATCAGTTACACTTGGAGAAAATATAGCTGAGGGCAAGAGAGGGGCTTGGCACAGCCTCCCTCAAAGGGTCTCCACAAGAGAACTTGCTTCCTAACCATCTCTGTGTGTCCCTAGAGTCACCTGACCCACAGTCTGTTGTCAACGGTGGCGGTGAAATCTGTTGGATCAATTCTTCACAAAGACACTATAAACAGTTGGCTACCTCATTCAAAGCAGTTTCACACAAGCTTAGTTCTGGAAATAGAATCTGTGCAAACCCAGGTGGCTGAAAGTGAGCAGGCTTTAAAGAATGGGCGAATATGCAAGATGAGGCAAAAGGCCCAAATATAAACATAAGTGAACACCAGTGAATTGCTTAGCTTGCAATTGAAGGACAATGGTGATGGACAGGTTATAAGAGGGACAGATGAGAGCTAGCTCAGCACAAGAAAAGCTCCTTTTGGGAAGGAGGCAGCTACCGCTAGATGGTGAGCAAGGGAGGATGGTCCCATCATTCCCCCGTCTGAGTCTTCAGTGCCTCCCATGTATAGCTAGACGGTAAGGGCATCTAGAGATACAGTCAGCAAAGATCAGGACAGGAAAAGGTGCCAAGCATCTCTGGAAGAGAAAGAATGAGGAGCATAATGCTTCTCCCAAAGATAGGTGAATTGAGGTATTAAGAAGACAGGTAAGAGAGCTTGGGATGTAGCTCAGTTAACAGATGGTTTACCCAAGCAAGTGCATGCTTTTGATCCCCAACAACTGTGTGAAACCTGGCAGCCCACATCTGCAATGACAACACTTAAGAGGTGGGTGTAAAGAGGATCAGTATCCAGGTCAGCCTCAGCTATAGAGAAAATTCAAAGCCAACCTGAGCTCCGCAAGAGCCTGCCTCTAAACAAGAAGCAAACAGAAGAGAAGACCGTAGAGCATGTTTCAGATTCAGAGTAGATTGAAACCAAGAAGAGGGCTTTCTTCCCTCTCTGCTCTCTCTAACTTTGGGAAACTTGAATGCCTAAAGAGTCATAATATGTCAAAGGATGTCGAATCCCAAGGATCCTTGCCAACATATGGTGGTGTTGAAATGGCCTACAGCGGCCCACTTTTCCTCAGAAGTGTCCAGGAACTATGTGAACAAGCTGACTCAGACTCTGTCTGGATTCACTGGAAAGGGAGATTTAGTGAATCAGTTGTGTGGGTGACAATTTGGTCTGTGTTGTCCTTTGGGTGAATTCACATGGCACACTAACAGTGTCTGTTTGGCTCGTGGAGGTGACTCATCTGAGGAAGTGGACCTGACCATGGTGTATCAGGCAGCATCTAATGGAGACGTCAATGCTCTGACTGCCGTGATTCGAGAGGATCCTTCTATCCTGGAATGCTGTGACAGTGAAGGTAGGCTGTGTGTGTGTCTGTGTGTGTGTATGTGTTTAAATCTAGGGATGCTTAGATATAACAAAATACGTATAGAACTTGTTTGCGGAACACTTAAAATACCAAAGAGATAAACTTAAGAAAATCCAAATAAATAGAGTGACATGCCATGTTCATTAGTTAGAAACTCAATGTAATAAACACACAGTATCTTCCAAATGCATACACAGGATTAATACAATTTCTATAAAGAGGCAACTTGAAAGACCTATCTAATTCTATCAAAACCTGACAAGATGCGTCTGTGTTTGCACAGGCATACACACAAGCAACCATACATAGACAACAGTGTTTGTAGAAGTTTCCTCTCAGATAAGACCTTCCATCTTGGAAGGAAGCTCCTTAAGATATAAAATGTTCTAAAAGGAGTCGTAACATTCCATCCCAAAGGGACTCTCCTTAAATAAAGAAATAAACAACTTAAAAGTTTCAGGAAGTCCCTGAAATTGACAAGATACACTAGGCCCCCTCATTCACCAAGTATATATAATCAGTAAGAACTGATAAAAGACACTCTCACATCACCCAAGCCACTGAAAAGAGAAAGAGACCATTCATGCTACCTTGAGGAGGCTCAGTCCAGCTGAGCTGCCTGAGACACTCCACTTTGTCAAACTGTCTGCCAATTGTATAGTACCAATCCAGTCTTCCAACCCATATCATGTCATTCCAAGTCCATGTCCAATATGAGCTGTCACACATGCTGGGGTGGGCTTTTGGTCATACAGTTGCCTGTGAGTCATTTTCCCTACTCTAAGTAAGTCTTCATCTATATTCCTGTAAGTAACCCAAACAAGCTCATTGGTTCAATAAGTTGGACTTTGGTGGTTTCCTATCTTGGATAGATATATAATTATTCATTTCTCTGCAGGAATAGTGTCTCACAACAACTAGGATAGTTAAAACAATTTCAAGGGGGAAAATGTGGAAGGAATCCTATGTTGTAAGATTTGCTATTATGTAGTAGGTGTTTGGGCTAAGGAGCAGATGCCTAAGTCAATGGATAGGGACAGAGAACCCAGAACTAGACCTTCAGAAACACTCTAGACTGATTTGAGCTATAGTTCAGTGGAAGAAACATAACTTCATCAACAAATGGTGCCAAGTGCCACAAAACATATAAGATTTTGAGAAGGAAGAAGGGAAGATGAAGAGAGGAGAGAAGAGAAAGGGAACAGGGAGGAGAGGTGAGACAACAGGAAAGGGAAAGAAAGTTGACTCAATCCAAATCTAACACATGTTACATGTTATCATGGATATGGATCATGGACTTAAATGTAAGATATAAAACCCAAAACTTTTAGAAAGAATAACTATAATTTTTTAAAGGAGAAAATATTTAGGATCTAGGACTGGGCAAGTATCTCCTAGACTTGCCACAAAAGCATGTTCATCAAGATAAAAACTTCACAAATCTAAGTTCATCAAAAATTTAAAACTTCTTTGATTAAGGAAATCAAAAGCTTAGATACAAATTGGAAGACAATATTTGCAAACCATATAGTCAAGCTAGCAAGACTGCTTTCAGAGGCCATGCTCTTTAGGTATTTAGTATCATGCTACTAACTGGGTCATGGTGGCACACGACTTTAACCCCAGCACTTGGGAGGCAGAGACAGAGGCAGGTGGATCTCTGTGAGTTTGAGGCCAGCTTAAGTCTTTGAGGTCTACATAGAAAGTTCCAGGACAGATTGAGTGTGTCTGGTTTTATGTTGAGGTCTTTGATCCACTTGGACTTTAGTTTTGTGCAGGATGAAAAATATGGATCTATTTGCACTTTTCTACATGTAGGCATCCAGTTAAACCAGCACCATTTGTTGAAGATGCTGTCTTTTTTCCATTGTATGATTTTGGCTTCTTTGTCAAAAATCAAGTATCCATAGGTGTGTGGGTTTATTTCTGGGTCTTCTATTCGATTCCATTGATCCACCATTCTGTTTCTATACCAGTACCATGTATTTTTTATTACTATTACTCTGTAGTACAGCTTGAGATCAGGGATGGAGATACCTCCAGACGATTCGTTGTTGTACAGGATCGTTTTGGCAATTCAGGGTTTTTTGTTTTTCCATATGAAGTTGAGAGTTGTTCTTTCAAGGTCTGTAAAGAATTGTGTTGATATTTTGATGGGAATTGCATTGAATCTGTAGATTGCTTTTGGCAGGATGGCCATTTTCACTATGTTAATCCTACAGATCCATGAACATGGGAGATCTTTCCGTCTTCTAATATCTTCTTCGATTTCTTTCTTCAGAGACTTGAAGTTTTTTTTTTTTGTTTTTGTTTTTCAAACAGGTCTTTCACTTGCTTGGTTAGAGTCACACCAAGGTATTTTATGTTATTTGTGGATATTATGAAGGGTGTAGTTTCCCTAATTTCTTTCTCAGTCCTTTTGTTTTTCATATACAAAAGGGCTACTGATTTATTTGAGTTAATTTTGTAGCCAGCCACTTTGCTGAAGGTGTTTATCAGCTGAATGAGTTCTCTGGTTGAAATTTTAGGATCACTCATGTATAGTATCATATCATCTGCAAATAGTGATACTTTGACTTCTTGCTTTCCAATTTGTATCCCCTTGATCTCCTTTATTTGTCTTATTGCTCTAGCTAGGACTTCAAGTACTATGTTGAAGAGATACAGAGAGAGTAGGCAGCCTTGCCTTGTCCCTGATTCCAGTGGGATTGATTTAAGTTTCTCTCCGTTTAGTTTGATGTTGGCTATAGGCTTGCTGTATATTGTGTTTACTATGTTTAGGTAAGTGCCTTGTATCCCTGATCTCTCCACGACTTTAAACATGAATGGGTGTTGAATTTTGTCAAATGCTTTTTCGGCATCTAAGGAGATGATCATATGGTTTTTCTCCTTCAGTTTGTTTATATGGTAGATTACATTGATGGATTTCCATATATTGAACCACCCTTCATGACTGGGATAAAGCCTACTTGGTCTTGGTGGATGATATCTTTTATATGTTCCTGGATTTGGTTTGCAAGTATTTTATTGAATATTTTTGCATCAATGTTCATAAAAGAGATAGGTCTGAAGTTCTCTTTTTTTGGTTGGGTGTTTGTGTGGTTTAGGTATCAAGGTGACTGTGGCTTCATAGAATGAGTTTGGAAAGGATACTTCTGTTTCTATTTTGTGGAATAGTTTGAAGAGAATTGGAGTTAGCTCTTCTTTAAAGTTCTGGTAGAATTCTGCAGCTCAGTCTCCAAATGAGTTTCCTAGTTATGGGAACAGTAATGGAACAGTTCATGTCTCTGACAGGGTTGGCTAAGTGGCTGGCTCTTTGATCACCTCCCCCTTATGGGGGAGCAGCCTTACCAGACCACAAAGAAAGACAATGCAGCCAGTCCTGATGAGACCTGATAGGCTAGGGTTAGATGGAGGGGGAGGAGGACCTCCCCTATCAGTGGCCTTGGAAAAAGGCATGGGAGGAGATGAGGGAGGGAGGGTGAGATTGGGAGGGAATGAGGAAGGGGGCTACAGCTGGGATACAAACTGAATAAACTGTAACTAATATTTAAAAAATTACAAAAAGTAAGTTCCAGGACAGCCAGAGCTACATAGAGAAACCCTGAGAAACCATAGAGGAATCAGAAAATAAAAATAAAATCAAGTCAAGCCAAAACAAAACAAATTATGCCAGTTCTTCCTTTTTGCCAGCAAGAAAAACAAACCAAAACAAACAAACAAACAGAAACCTAACAGACTACTTAGCTCCCATGCCTCAGTTTCTTTGTTTGTAAAATGAGGATAATAATGAGAGCACAAAAGAACTGTTTCCTTAGACTTTGTTTTTAATGAGAATTAGATGGTTTAGAGTTAGGCTTGGCCCACCAGACGTACTCAGTGCCTATTAACTATATGTGCTACCACAGGGGTTTCATAATACTGGAGCTGTTTGCAATCGCCCAGGGCAAGACAAGGAGTTTTAAAGCGGCTCAGTTTCTTAGCCAAAGCCCACAGCTAATAAAAGAACCCAAGCATTCTGCTACATAGGTCAGTGCTTGGCCCTGAGGCAGAGGTCATAAAGCTCTCCCCTTGGGAGGCTGAGGTGGTAAGACTACAGTTGCGGGGGGGGGGGGGGGGGGATATCAAGACAGTCATTTGGTGGTCAAATTGACAACATTTAACCAAATTCAAGATGTTTGTATCCGTAACCAAGTAGTTCTACTTCTGGGCATATTTCGTAAACAAGACTTCTGTACTAATGAACAAAGATGAATAATAAAAACTTAACCACTTGGAAAGAACATAAGTGAACAGAATACGGAAGGGCAGCCTGAGCTTGCTGAGCTGTGTACTGAAACCCTGTATGGACGAGGAGGAGGAAGCGGAGGAGGACAATGACAACAATGACAAAATGATGCTCTTGTTGGTTTCCAAACCCTTGACAGCACAGGGCACTTATTCTTTTAATAATCATCACTAACTTAAAATGTAGTAAGTGGTTTCCAGGGTCGTTCAACGTGTCTCCCCTGACTAACACTGAAATAATCTCTTGGAAATTGCTTATTGTGTTTTTCTCCTTTTCCCTCTTAGATCATTGTGTCTTTCTGGTTAATTGTTCTTTATTTAGTTTGCCTAATAATTTTTTAATTTTACGAATTAAAATAACTTTGCCTGCTAGGTGTGGCAGAACAGATTTGTAATCCCCTCACTCAGAAAGTTGAAGCAGGAAGATCACTAGTTCAAGGCCAACCTATTACAAGTTAAGACCTTCTCTCAACAAAGAGTTAATAACTAAAAATTAAAAAAAAAAATAACAACTTCTGCAGATGTCTAGCTAGCCTTTGAATTTTGGTTGATAATATGTACTGCAGAATTTTTAAATTTAGATCATTGAATTTAACAAGGTATTTTCTTCACAGTTTTTCGCTTTTCCATCTTTCATAAATCCTTAATATTATAAGAATATGCTTCTGTGTTTGTTTGTTTGTTTGTTTGTTTGTTTGTTTGTTTTTCAGAATGCTACCTTTTGCTTGCAAATTTTGTCTCTAATCCATCTGGATTATGTTTAGGGGTGGTAGGGAGTCTGGCTGTATTTGAATTTGGCCCCTGTGTGCATCCAATTTGTCAGTACATAATTACTAAATCTTTGTCCTCCCCACCAATGTACAATGTCACCAAAATTATACAGTGAGCTCCATGAAAGTCTGAGTGTTTCCTGGACTCTCCTTTCTAAACTGTTGAGCTATTTCTTGCTTAGTTGTCATAACTTTATACTAAATCTTGTCTGTTCAATAAGATAATTTTCTGTTCTTTGTTCTCTGAAGAAATTTACATAGAAAGGACAATCTCAAGATTGATATAAACTAGTCATACAGAGCATGTAATTTTATGCAAATAGTATGTAAAAACTAATTTGCTTTATTTACTGAGTATCTCAGATTCACAGATTTTTTTCTTTATTCATTATGTCCTTTCTTTTCCTTTTAATGGCTGTAACTACCACTTCTTTTTAAAATTTTTAATATTTATTCATTCATTTATTTAATTTTTCAAAACAAGGTTTCTCTGTGTAACCCTGGCTGTCCTGAAACTCACTCTGTGGACCAGGCAGGCCTTGAACTTAGAGATCTGCTTCCTTCCCAAGTGCACGTACCAGGACAAGGCTGTAGCTACTTGACAGGGAGGGGAGGCAAAGAGGGAGGAAGGAAGTAGAGAAGGAGGGAGGGAAGAAGAGATGAGGGAAGAAGCAACAGGGGAGAATTAAGAGGAAAGGAGGAAAAAGGGAGGGGGAGGAAGAAGAGAGGGAAATCTTGCCACTGTTCTAGGAATCACTTCATTGCTGCTTTGCCTGGCACCGATGTCTGCACAGGCTTTTAGAGAGGAGGGATGCTGGGTCACCGGCTGCCATGTTCAGGGAGAACAGTGGTCCGGAGAGCAACCCACTCTCAGGCATCTCTGTGGACCACAGCTGGGTTCATTCAGAGGAGGACCATGAGCTCAACAAGGGTTTCCAGCTCAACAGAATCTAAACATGTCAGCTCAGCACAGAGGGTTGGCGCTCAGCTTGGCCTCTTGGGCTGAAGTAATGTGAAGCTCCTTGCTGTTCCAACAGTCCCAAAGTTCAGCAAAATGTGTCCATTCATCTCTATTTTTATTCAGAAAGAAAACTGAAAAACTAAATACCTTTGGCCTTATTAATTGAGAAAGAGAAGAAGTCAGTGAGGTGGATCCTATTGAGAATTTGTATAGCCCAAGGCTAGGCCACCACCCACCTTTACCACCCACCACCTCCAGAAGTGTGGTGAACCTGTTTGCCTGGGCGGACCAAAAGCCGTTCCAGGTTCTGCACCAACTTCACCTTAGTCGGAATAAACTTACCTGCTAGGTCTGGAGTTATTCACATCCCCAAGGCAACAACAGCCAGTTTTGGTCATTTGCCCAACATGTTTTAACCCACGAACTATCCCAGACAACTGAGTAGGAAGAGAGGACAGAATTACAGACAACTAAGGGGAAGGAGGAGCTAGAAAGAAACAGACGGCTTATGTAAACAGAAACCATCACCTTCGGCTTGCTTCAGCGCCACAAAATCCAGCAGCTGGGTTTGTGTTACAGGAAAGCAACATAAATGAACAGACAAATGATCTGCTCATAAATCTCAAAGGTTAAACATTTGTAAAGGCTGTTGAAACATCTGGTTCCAGGATGTACGCCCTTGATGCATGCGGTTTCTGGTCGTCAAGTGGACACGGTGAAGCTGCTGTTGAAGATGGGTGCCAACATTAATACACAGGATGCGTATGGCCGCACCAGCTTATGCCTGGCAACTTATCTGGTACGAATTTATGTTTGTTAATGGGGCCACAGAGCAAGGGAACTAAAGATGCCACGTGGATTCTGCTCATAGAATGGTGCCCCTGGGCTGATACTGTAGGTCATCGAGAATAGGACTTGGGCTTTACTCATGATCCTTAAGGCTTGTATGGGTCCTTTACAAGTTAAGATAGAGGTGATATGATCACCAGCAAAATGTCCTTTTCTATCTCAACATCGGAATTTCACTTGGGACATTTCTGGCCCTTCTTGGTGTTTCTAAAAAGGCCACCATAAATGACGCCCAGAGGGTAATGATTTGAAGATACAGCTGACATCTGTTGGGTGGGATTAGATTGAAAGCAGCTGAGTGGGAGCTCCAGGCTGAGGAATGTGAGAAATGATGAGAAGTGGGAAGGGTGATATGATTAGGGCATAGGGGACACACCAGGATCCCAAGGGCAACACCAATTGAAGAACTCGTAGCCAAGTGCTCATATTAGAAACTATAATGTCATTCTCATACTAGGGATTTTGGTTCAGCATCACCCAGCATTAAAGCAAAGCTTGGTTAAGACTCTCTGAAGATCCTCTAGCCCTCTCCTCTCAAGATGCTCTTAGTAGTCCTTCCGGAAGCTCCCTGGGCTGGCTTAAATCCATGTGAAACAAGCCGTGCCTACCATGCGAGGGACAGTTTATTGCTTCTCTTCTTTTCCAGCAACATGGCCACTGCTGTCTCACATCCGTTGCCTCTTGCAGTTCCTTACTGCTGCCAGTTGATGGTTGTGGATTCACCGCAGCCAGGCCCCCTGGGGTGCCCCGCTGAAATGAAACACTTCCTTTCCACACACACACACCACCCCTTCCTGCCACAGTCCACAGTTTGCACTGATGCATTGCTCAATCCCCGCACAGATTTTCTTCAGAGGCCTATTAACTTTTCTCTTTGCATACTCTTTCTCTAGGACCCACAAACGAACCTAGGCAGATGTTTTTTAAGTGTGGCCCACGGGCCTCTTGGCTATCTCTTAGAGGTCTTGTTTGAAAGGCTGGCTCTGAGGTACACTAGGACTGCCTGGCTTGGCTAGCATGGGGAAAGGGGAGGGTCGGAGTCTGCAGGTTAAACTGACTTCCCCAGCAACTTCGGTATCCACTTGAATTTAAAGAGCACTGCTCTGTGTGTGCTAGCTGAGTGAGTCTCCACATCTCAGGCAGATATATGATCGATCTCTCAGTCACCCCCCCCCCGCCTTGTAGGCCTTGTAGCATGGGCCTTCCTAACTGCTCTTGCTAGTTAAACCTTTTTTGTGAATGACAAGCTAAAATTTGAATGAAGGGCCAGAGGAAAGGGATGGAAATGTCTTCTAAAGTTGCCTGCCATGAGACTATAAATATGCTGGGAACAAATTATATGTCTTTAAAAACTCTAAAATTTGAAAGGCCTGGAAAGAAGTGCTCTCCTAAACATCAGTTATGAGGGGCAACTTGGAACATAGAAGGGTAACGTCTTTGCAGGCAGCTCTTGCCAGTCTAAAGAGCTGTGTGAGGGAAGCGGGAACATGACACAGATGGGATGGCCTTCTAACGGTGCCTGGCCTCTGTGTGAGACCCCAAGGCTCACAGTGAGGATGAGCATTCTGAGGGCCTCTGTGAAATCCAGTAATGTCTAGATTTGATCATTAAGAGAAACTTGGCAAAAAAAAAAAAAAAAAAAAAAAAGGCACTTAGAAACTGAGTCTCAACTCAGGGTACGAATAAATTTGTAGACATGTGACCTTGTGCAAATCACTTCACCTTTTTGGGCCCCTATCTATCTATCTATCTATCTATCTATCTATCTATCTATCTATCTATATATATATATTTTTTTTTTTTTTTTTGAGGTGTGGTAAAAACAAAAACCTAAGCTTATCACACCTGAAGGAAAAGGTAAAGCCAGCTAGGACAGAGTAGGTATGACATTTATTTGTTGCTTCCAAATGCTATCAAGGGTCTGAAGAAAAAGAAAAAAAAAATGAAGAACACCCCCCCCACACACACACACACACACACACTGAGTTCCAGGAAACATTGCAAAATATTTTAGATGTTTCAAAGCTTATCCCACCAAAAGATCTGCTTTTTCAAAAACTGTAAATGTTGGGCAATTCAGAAGTTTGCCCAACATGCCTTGCTATTGGGTCCCCTGATTAATTTTTCTTTTCCTTTTAAGCAGTGGACTTGATGACTTGGACATTAGTAACTAGAAACAGATTTAATACATTAGAAAACTGAGTCAATGCTGACAGTGTCCTCCAAAATATTTGTTCCTATTTAAGACAGATATTGCTGGCCAATTCTATAGAACCTTACTTGGTATTATAACCCCTGAAATTCTTTTTAGTTTTGATTTTTGTGACTGGATTTCATGTAGTCTATGCTGTTCGCAAAGTCACTATGCAGCAAAGAATGACCCTTCTCTCCCAATCCTCTTGTTGATATTCCCAAATTCTGGCACTCTAGGTCCCCATCTCCCTGATTTAGCCCAAGAATGTTGATGTGTTCTTATTTGACAGATATTGTCTAGACTCTTCAAAACCACAAAGTTCTTTTCATATTTTTATTTTCTTACCTCAATAACATTATTAATTCTTGGAGTTTTGGTGCTTCTAATATTGTCATCTCATCTAACTGGGACATCTCAAGACTTTACTACCTTCAAATGGAGGGAGGTGAAAAGCTGCTTTTGAATAAAAGGTTATCACCTCGTTCTTCTCAATGAGACTTTCAATTATTTATCGGTCTGTTTATATGTAGGTAAGAAGCCTGAGGGTTGTAGATAAATGTAGGAGGAGGCATTCTACTGAGCAGTAAAAACCAAACTTGGTCATCAGCAAGCTTGGATCAGTTAAAGAAGTTTAAGTTAAGGAAGTGGAATAAATCTGGGCAGGGCTAGCCTCAGGTTACTTCTGTCCTTGAACATAAGATAGCAGGAAAAAATGACCCAGATGGAAATGTTAGCCAGCAAGGTGATAATATCAAGCTTCAGTTGGTGCAATTAGTATGCAGGAAATTCAAGCAGTTTCTTCTTCTTCTTCTTCTTCTTCTTCTTCTTCTTCTTCTTCTTCTTCTTCTTCTTCTTCTTCTTCTTCTTCTTCTCCTCCTCCTCCTCCTCCTCCTCCTCCTCCTCCTCCTCCTCCTCCTTTTTCATTTTTCTGTGTACTTGGCTGTCCTGGACTCACTTTGTAGACCAGGTTGGCCTCAAACTCACAGCAATCTGCCTGCCTCTGCCTCCCTGACTGCTGGGATTAAAGGTGTGTGCCACCACTCCCAACTTTACACAGCTTCATAAGAAATATGTAGGTGCATAAAACCTTGCAATGGGTATCCCTTGACGACCTCTAGTTATGCCTTCGTGTTAGGATTCAGGACATGAACATTAGAGTCTCAGCTACTTCCAGGGTGTAGGCAGGTTATAGACAAGGCTGACTCAAGTAGGCAGGTTATTAGAAAATGAACATGAACTAATAAAGAATGAAGGCCTACTCATTAGACATGGGGAATGGTTTAAGCATGCAGTCTGGGATACAGAAGTGGCTTGGAAATCTACTGTTTAGAAGTAGATATTGTCATCTAAATCAGACAGTTGATATATATGATTTGGAGCTAAGCCACAGCTGAGTGGCCAAAGCGGGTGCCAGCTCCGTGTCACACGCTACCTTTGGCATGTGGGAATTGGGGCAGCCTAAGCATAGCGGTTGTTGAATCCCAGTGCTGGAAATAGAAGGGAGAGTCAAGAGAGCAGTGCCTGCATCAGTCTGTATATGAAAGGGCAGCAATCTTATAGAAAACCTGTGAACGTGAAGCTCAGACATCAGTTCTCTGATGAGGTGCCTGAGTTATCACTGAGGTCCTTAATGGTTTCAACTTAAATGTGCTTTTAGCCAAATGAAGGGAGTGGCAACAAACAAGCAAACAAACAAAAACTCCAAACTACAGAAAGAATGTTGACCTGTGTTCTGTGAGGCTGCATTATATAATGATGTGATTGCTGCTGCTTTTCAGGGCTGGCTTGAAGGCTGTGTGAGTTTGCTCAGAAACGGAGCCAAGCACAACATCCCAGATAAAAATGGCCGCCTGCCACTCCACGCGGCCACAGCGGAGCCTGATGTGAGGTAAGCACAGCACTACATGACAGTTGGAAAAGACCCAGCTTGCGTGAGAAAGGCCTGGGATCCACCACTCTGTGGCTAACACATGAAGTTTACTCATTTTTTTTTTTTCTGGATAGGACCAGAACAAAATGTTCATGAGTAATCTTAAACTCCAATCTTACTTCAGTAAAACACTTTCCCTCTTTTATTTAAGGAGAAAGGCTACTTTTTCATCACTGGAATCCATAAATTCATTCATTCATTCTAGCAGTCAGTTATTAGCTCAATTAACTATTACTGGGCCTTTATTACAAACCAGCAGAGTTTTAGTACCTAACAATGCCACAGTAAACAAGACAGTCTGTGATGTCTCAGTGTCCTTGACACTGTCGAAGGACTCAAGTGGCTCACTAGCAAACAAAGGAACAAGATACTTTCCAATAATGACAAGTGCTTTTCAGAAAATCAGACAAGCTAAAACATGTCAGTAAGGATAATGTCCAAGTAGAGTATAGAGCCAGAGTCTTGGAGTTAAAGAGGCACAGGAGCCTAAGGCAGAAGTCCAGGGCATTAGAAGCAAAACCAGGAGTGTGCACACAGGAAGTGCATGTGAAGAGAAAGAGGGAGAGAACGGAAGGAAGGACGGAAGATAGGAAGAGAGAGAGAGAGAGAAAGAAAGAAGGAAGGAAGGAAGGAAGGAAGGAAGGAAGGAAGGAAGGAAGGAAGGAAGGAAGAAAATCAGTGACTGAAGAGGTCACAATTTGCTAAGACAATTAAGAAACCAAAAGAAAAAGAATTGCCCCGTCTGACTACGTTCCCTCATTCCTCAGTGTGAAACTGGCCTCTTGCCTCCTTCATTTTGAAAGCCCTTACAGCACCTGATGATAACACTTCCTACTACAAACAGCAATGTTCCGGCTCGGCTCCTCCTTCGACTCTGCTGCATATAACATGCCTTTGACAGCAATTCAGCATCCCCCAATCCCAGGGCCTGCCTGGCCAGCAGCACAGCTGTGGGCCTCACCCTCAGATCCCAGAGCCATAATGAAGACACGAAGCTCTGTGAAGCTGAAGAGGTTTGGAAGGGGGCAGATAACAGGATTGCTTCTCTTCAATCACTTTTTAAAGATAGCAAAAGGCCTGGGAAATTCCAGGACTATCCCTGAAGCTTGCCAATTGTTTTCTTGGACCATATTCAGAAAGAACAGAAGTTACCCTAAGCCTTGAGCAAATCCAGACCATTAACTATCAGTAAACATCATGGTAAGGGGATGGTCTGTTTTCAGAAAGGGAAAAGGGAAGGGAGGAAGGAAAGGAGGGGATAGAGAGGAGAGGAAAGGAGGGAAAAGACTTTTTCTAGTCAGCTTGCACAAATGTTTAGTCACAACAGTATACTGTTTCTGCAAGGGCGATCGTGAGAAAATAAGTTTAAAAACATACCCTGCAAGAATTATTCTGCCTTGATTGCTGAACTTAAGTGACTTTATCTGCTCCTCTTGAGTAATTTTAAGAGCCTTGTATCCTGAAAGATAAATGCCCGCTTGAGTTATGGTAATGACCGTAATGGGAATATCACCGTTCACGTCTAATCCCCCTCCATTAACAAAGACTAGTCATTTGCACACATTCAAATAGAACAAATGTCAGGAAATACAGGGATCTGTCTGACCCTGGGGATTCTACCCCTGAAGTAGGAACTCAGATTTGAATGAAAAGCTCTCTCTGCCATCACCTTCTACACCTGAAGTGTCAATCAAATTTTTCTCAATCAAAATTACATTCAAGATCAGTTCAGTTAGCTTGGTTCAACCTCTGAAATAATTAGTTCAAAACCCATTCAAGTCTCTTCCATGAACATGTGTGTGTGTGTTGTTAATGTTGTTTTTTTTTTAATTAATTTACTTATTCACTTTACATCTGATCATAACCCCCTCCCTTCTCTTCTCTGGAACCCACCCTCTCTCTCTCTTCCCCCTCCCCTCTCCCCTCGCCCCTGTTCCTCAGAGAAGAGGAGCCCCCACACCAGCTCATCAAGTAGCATCAGGACTCGGCATGTCCTCTTCCTCTGTGGCCTGTTGAGGCAGCCCCACCAAGGGGGAGTGATCAGAAAGCAGACAACAGAGTCCATGTCAGAGTCAGCCCCTGCTCCCCTTACTAGGGCACCCACATGAAGCCCGAGCTGCCCGTCGGCGTCTTCTGTGTAGAGGGCCTAGGTCCAGTACATGCATGGTCCTTGGTTGATGCTTCAAAAAGGGTTTGTTGTTTTGTTGGTTTTGTTCATATGGTTTTTGGTTGTTTTTTTTTTGTTTTTTTTTTTTTGGTTTTGTTTTGTATTGTTTTGGGTTTTCTAGACATGGTTTCTCTGTGTAGCTCTGGCTGTTGTCCTGGAACTCACTCTGGAGACCAGGCAGGCCTCGAACTCAGAGATTCACAGATTCACCTGCCTCTCCCCTCTCACCTCCCAGTGCTGGTATGAAAGGTGTGCACCACCCCCCCCCCCCCCCCCAACCCCCCCCCCCCCCCCCCCCCCCCCCCCCCCCCCCCCCCCCCTTCCCGTCCCTACCCCCCCCCCCCCCGGTTCTGTGGACATATTATATATAGCAATGCCTTTAGACACTCTAGGATCTATCCCACATGCCTAGAACTCTGAAAGCAAGGAGTTGAGGCCTCCTCTTCTCTGGATATTATATCTAATGACCCAACCAACATCCTCTGAGGAGTTGAATCCAGAAAAGTAAACATCTTTCTATGTGCCAAAGATAGAATTTTCTTCTTTTAAGTCATTCTGAATGTTAAAATCTTGTGCTTTAGCGACAATGTTACTCAACTAGTGAAATCCAAACCTGTGGGTAAATATTCTGAAAGCAATATTTTGTATTAGTGAATCTCCTTCAAAATGGATTGGCTCGAACCCTTAACCCATAGACTGCTGTAACTGAATTGCCAACAGACTCTCCAGGAAGCATCTTAAAGCACCCTGTCCTAAAGGTTTCCTCCTGGGAGAAAACTGATAAAAATGAGGTTTTTTTTGTGGTTGTTTCACTGAGAAAATTTCTGGCAGAGTTACATCTGCATTGGGTGTAGCAGAAACAAACCAATGCATGTTTTGTCAGAGTTGGGCAGCAGCCACCTGTTTGAGAAAACAGAAAGCTTTGTTGTCTGACTTTGTAGGTGCCTTCTGACATTGCAATTGCCCCGGAGAAGCAGGCTCACGTGAGCCTCATTTCTTAAATGGAGACAACTTAAAAAAAAAAAAGAAAAACATTCATTTATTTATTTTGTGTATATGTGTGTGTGAGTGTACACATGGCACACACCAGCGCTGAGTCAGAGAGTGACTTAGAGAAGTTAGTTCTCTCCTTCCCCCGTGTGAGTTCCGGGGATCCGGGGATCACACTTAGGTTGGAAGGGAGCGTCTTGGCCAATTAGCCATCTCACCAGCCCATGCATGGGTATAACCTTAGGCAGGCTTAGCAAGTGCTGAGGTCTGAGTCAAACTTAGAGCAACTAAGTTGAGGATGAGGATGACGTTGAGGGGGGGGGTGACATTGTTATCATAAGCATGCTCTGAACAAAATTCTTAGTGCTCTCCAGGTCCTGTCCCATTTAACACACCACTCTCCTGTACAATGTGTCTTACTTTTATCCCCACTGTCCGGATGAGGAAGTGGGGCAAATGGAGGCTAACCAACCGATGTGCGCGTAAAGAAAACCTGCCTGAAGGTCGCTGTCTTCCCCACAGCCTCTACCGTGGCCTTGCAGAGCTCACAGTGATCATATTTTATCAGCAAGCCCTTGGCCTATGTTGCCAGGCTTTATGAGAAACAGCCTTACAAAATTTACTGGCTCACTATCAAGTCATATTTTATTCATTATAACATCTTCAAAAACCTTACATATGAAACCACAGGAAAAAAAAAAAGTTTCATTTAGGGAGGGATGGCTCTGCTTCTCTGAGAAAATAGTCTAAATGTGTTTTATAGGAACCCTTGGTTTAGGGTCCCATGCCTCATGTTCTGTGCTTAGGAAATTCAAAACTCACTTTGAAACCTACCTAGCACATACTGGAGATCATGTCTTCCATCTTCTGCCCTTGTTTTCTCTGCCTTATTTCTTCACTCACCTTATTTTTAATTTATGTAACCAAAACCCACCTAAAATCCTTGTTGAGCTGAGGTTAAGAGTGGCTGGGAGTCAGGCTGAACTTGAATCTTGCCTCATCTATCTGACCAACCACTTTGTCTCGGACAAGTTACTATGTCAAGGCCCAGATAAGTTTCTTTTCTAGAAAATAAGGGGGATGCAATTCTTTTCTTATAAGAAGAGAGGCAGAATTAGAGTAAAATATATTAAAACTACTAAACATAGTATCTAGTTCATTGTGTTCGGAAAGCTTAATGCTGCGTGTGATATTAATGGCGATAGTAGACAGACATGAATACCACACGCTGGCATTAAAGACTAGGACCCACTGATTGCCACCCCACCAGTTCCCACCTTGGCGCACACACGTGCCAAAGGTACTTACAAACACAGAGGTGTTTGTGCACACAGTCTTGTAGCAGCATGCAATATGCATTTACTGCTAAGGATGCTGGGATAGCGACACTCACTCCCCTTTGCGTAGACTCAAGGAAACAGGCTGCTGATGAACTTCAGATTTAAACTCAGGCTGTTCAGTTCCCCCAGAAACTCCCTTTACAACTTTTGTGAGCTTAGATCCACCAATATTTTCTTCATATAAGTAAGCAGTACAAACAGCTGCCTGCCCAGAGGACTTGTGAAAAGATGTTTACATTGGCTTAAAAAATCTGCTGATCCTTAGGTTTTCAAACAGCAACCTCCCCTCACATGACTCTCACTGGAGGTTATTGAATCTGCTTTTAAACAGTCCAGAGGGATGTTTGCATTATTCTGCCCTTAGCCTACAGAGAGATTCGGGTTCTCTGATGGGTTGGAGCCACAGCCTCAGCTAAGGCCCAGGGCAGTGGGGACTGGAGCAGACACAGGGATATGTGATTTATACATTTATACATTATACATTTATACAATTTAAATGTATGTAACAAACACAAAGGAGCCCAGGAGGCCAGGCTTCATCCCACAAGTTCCGTGCCTACTCCGAGCTCTCTGCTTCTTAACAGGCCCAAGTTTTCCCCTTTGAGTGTCCCTAAGCTTTTCTTATATCCTTGGCTGGGACATTCAGAGGGCGCCTGAGTGAAAGAGGGGACAGAATAATTAGGACAAAGTCCCAAAGAGACAGTGGTGTTTGTACAGCCCCGCAGGCGCTAGTGCTGAAAGGCAAGCAGCAATTTCCTCTGAAAGAAGCCACCAGTTCTGAAGGACTTCTTCATGGTCTCCACGGTAACAGGCAGATTTTCTTTTCTTTCCTTTTTCGTTCTTTTTTTTTTTTTTTTTTTTTTTTGCAGGCTACAGCGCCAGCAATTCAGCTCTTGGCTACAGCTGGAGGGTGTCCTGGCTCATTACCTTGGGGTCCTATAAATTACTAATGCTCTAACTTGATGTGGATACTTCGTTATACCACATCCTTGCATCCAGATAGCATTAGGGACAGGAAGGGGGAGATGGTTGGCTTGGGGGAGCATCCCCTTTCATCGCCATCACTGAGCTGAAGGGCTGGGAGACTGAGGGGTGAAAAAAACAGAAAAGATAACCGAAGTATGCTATACCTGTGATGGTTTTATCTGATCCCTGCTGCCACCTGAATCACCTGAGGAGGACCAAGAAGATACAGAAAGGGCAAGACCCAGCAAGATTTTTAAAAATGAACCGTTCATTATAGAGAAGTTGGGGATGGGCACACAAAAGTTTTGTAAGCATTGGCTCGTTTAAAATTGTAGCAAATCTTTAGTAATTAGAAGGCACACTTTCCATTATATAGATAAGAAAAGGAGGTCCTGAGAGAGGTATGACTTTCCCAAGGTCCCTGGATGGTCGATAGGAAGCTTGGATTCTAACAGCAGGCCTCTGTGTTCTCATTACTTAATCATGGCCCCAGGGGAAGGACCGTCCTTGTTTGCTGTCCTGCTACCTGGTATGTAGTGGCCTGGAGCTGTTGCTCTGAGATCTGAGGGCAGTTTGAACAGGTTCCAGCAGGGGTGGCACGGTAGAAGAAATGTTTCTGGCCACCATCGCATCCTGCTGGAGCTCTAGGAGAAAAAGACGAGGACAGCGAGTGATCCAGAGCTGAGGCAGATGGGGACTGAGCCAGATTAACTGCACACAACAGGACAGCAAGGGACCACCGTGTGCATAATGGGCATCTAATTTCTAGTTCAGGCTGGATCACAGGCACATGATGTGTGGAGGCTTTAACCAGCAGTGTGGTGAGCCCCAGAGAGGAGACAGAGAGACAGAGACAGAGACAGAGAGACAGAAAGACAGAGACAGAGGGAGAGAGCTCTTCAGCTGAATATCTTTGTCCAGCTTTGAAGACCAACTAGTTTCGAAAACTGCAAAATCAAATAAAAGTAGCATAGACCAGTTGGTCCATCAGACAGAGAAGAGAGGGAATCCCAAAAGGCAGCAACCAAGGAAAATCCAGTGAAACTAGCAAGAGGTGGTACTCTCTCGTGACCTAGCACAGTGGCACATGCCTGTTAGCCCACACTGAAGGGGGAGAAACTCGGCTTTGATGCCAGCCTGTGCTACCTAGGAGTTCAAAGCCAGCTGGGGATACACAGAAAGATGCTAAAACAAAACAAGAAAAATCTTTTGTTCTCCAAAAGAGCAGAAAAAAATGTTACAGCCCTAAATCTAAAGGGGGCAAGGGGTCATTGCCAGAAGCCAGTCTGATCTTTCCCTCCTCCCTGAAGTGTTCCAACTAAACAACAAGGTCATAGGTGTGGAGACTTGGTTGACGTCATCCCCAAGGGTCAGCCTCGGAACCAAGGGTTACATCGAGAAGAAATTTGAAAAGCCTGTCGAGAAATGGATTCATCCCACAGCCTTTGGGAACCACCTAGCAAGCAGCATGGGGTCATTCTCTGTTACCTCACTTTCCTGGGAGCCCTCTCTCTCCACTGGATCCACGAGGGAGAAGCTGTCTGAGGAGCCCATTCAAGCCAGGGCTGGCCCTAGAGAGTAGCGCTAGCCCTAGCTCCATGGTTCCCAACCGGCCACACATATCAGATATCCTGCACATCAGACATTGACATCACACTTCATAACAGAAGCAAAATTCAGCTAGGAAGTAGCCATGAAATAATTTTATGGTTGGGGTCACCACAGCATGAGGAACTGTATTAAAGGGTCGCAGCGTTAGGAAGGTTGAGAACCGCCGCCTTAGTTCATCTCATGGCTCCCCTCCCACCTCTGTGCCCACTGCCGACCAAAGGCGTGCTGGAGGTTAAAAGTGGCCACTGGAGACAGAGGAGAAACAGTCACAGCTCACCCCACTCCCACCCGTAAGGTAACCAGAAAGGAAAGGAAAATACACCCAGAGGTTAGAAAATGACAGAAAAAAAAAAAGCATCATCTCAATTCAATTATTTTTATAATGAGGTCCTATCAGATAAAAGAATGAGCCTAGAATTCAGAAAGTGTAAAAGAGGTGTGTGCTCACAGTCTTAGCCCATTCTGACAAATCTCGGTGCAAGGGATTCCCGCCTGCTACAGCCGTGGATCCTTCACCCCACTGCTAGTATGCAGATGCCGATGCCGGGTGCTCAGGAATGAGGCAAGAATTAAGTCCCAGCAGTAGCTCGGCTCCCCCAAAAGGCAGCGGAAAAACCAGATTCAAACCCAGGCTTTGTCGCAGGCCATTTCACATCTATAGCAAATGAGGATAATCTCATCCCTGTTCAAGCTCTCCTTGCGTCGTGTCTGTTAAGAAGGCAATATGATTAGCCCGTCAATTTGCCCTCTCGTTGGTAATAATTTCATACTTAGGGGCTTGAGATGCCATCTACGCTGAGAAACAATGAAAACTGGAGCCGGGTAGTTGGAAGATGGCTCCTGTCACTAAAGGGCTTGTGGTGCAAACACCAAGGCCTGACTGTGGATCCCAGCACCCAAGCGAAATCATGGCAACTCAACTCAATCCCAGCATTGGGGGGGGGGGGGGGGGGTAGAGTGGGGGAATCTCTGACAGGCCAGCCTGGACAAGCAGCGAGAGACCCTGTCTCAGAAACAGATGGACAGCAACTAAAGAAGGCACCTGATATCTACTTCTGTCCTCTACACACACCAAACACACACGTCTATGTACATACATAGGAATCCATGAACACACCGGACACATGCAAAGAGAGAAGAAAACCGGATTGAGAAGTAGGACTGAACAATTGCATTTTTCAAATAATTCTTATTTTAAAAAATCATTCTGAGCCTCTTTGCCTACGCTGTGGTCAGCCCTCATCATAGAGGTTCACTGACCAGGCATCGGCACCTTCTCAATGGTTGCCAAACCTGGCTGCTCACCTGACTGGCCCTGATGCGTTGGTCTTCAGCTGGAGCGTCGAGGCTCCTCCATAACCCTTTGAGTGCAGCCTAGCTGTCTGTGATTTTTTTTTAAATCTCCCCAGGGGCGCAGAGACGGGGCCAAGGCTCAGAAGTGTAGGATTAATGTTTCTAGAAATGCAGCCATGTTCTGCATGCTTTCCTCTTACCTGCCTCACTCCTCACACTGACCTGTGAGATGAGGACTTATTACCCCTGAAGACAGGAAGCTTAGGCACAGGGAAGGTAAGTAACTTGCCTCAGAGTGCAGAGTTTGGCAGAGCTGACGTGTGAACCCAGACAGTCGGGCTCCAGAGCCCTGGAACCAGTACAGCCAACTGCCTGTGTCTCAGGGAGGGGATGTTGCCCTCAGACAATCAAGTACAGGCTAGTGAACTTGAACATGAGAACCACCGACTGTTGTTTCTCACTGAGTCCTGTCATCGCCTGTTCAAAAGTTTCTGTCTTATCAGTGTGTGAAAGCGTAAATGCAAATACTGTGTATACAGTATAGGTGGGAGGCAGGCAACTTTTGGCTAGATGGGAATGAGCCTCATTTCATTCAGAGGCCTCTGACCGCACTCCTGATATGCGCTCTGGTCCCCATTCTAAGCATCCATGACTGTCAGTGCTGCTGAGCCACTCTTGCTCTTCCCAACAGGCTCCTCATAGTCCTGCTGCAGCAGTCCAGCCTCGGTGAGATCAATCACCAGGACACGGAGGTGAGTGGGCTGTCCCCAGCCACATTCTGCACTCGAGGGCGGAAGTTGTCCTTTGCACACCCGTCTCAGCAGGCAAGCTTCTCTGCTCCAGGCAGAACTCTAGCATGTCGGGTGTGGAGGGGGTTTCTTGCATTAAGTACGTAGGGTAGGCATTCGTATGACTGGAATTTTGTAATGCGCCTCGGGCATTCCCTTTCCTGTCTTCTCGAGTCCCCCAAACATAAATAACAAGCAATGGCTCCAAACATGTGTTGTCGTTTTTCTGAGTTCGGACAGACAGGACAGACCCAGGTGAGCATTTCTGGTCCCCACAAATCACGGTTGTCGTTTGCTTCACATTACTAAGGTATCCTTGCAGAAGCCTTCCAAATCATCAGCCGCCGCCATCCTTAAGCGGAGTTCTGGGTCAGACCTTACAGTGCTGCCCCGGTGCAGCTTGGGGGCAGCAGCTTTGTTACAGCTATTTTTATTTATGATAGCTATGTCAAGCTGTTGAAAGATGAGTACTGATTTTCATTGGCCAGTGGGTTTCGACTGCAAGCATCCCAAACCCAACTGAAATCTCTGGGCTCCGAGTGGACAGTCTACTTAAACATCCGCTTGGCTAGGTCACTCATCAGGAGCAAAGGCTGGTGATACTGACAACAGTCTAGTCCCACACATACACAGCGTGTCGCAGTACCCTGGTCTGGATAAATCCAGCTGGCCGTAGACACTGAGATAGAAGCCAGCCCCCCGTAACTTCCTCCTGGCCTGCCTATACTTACTCGGCCCATCTGTCTTGAGCCTTTCACCAAAGGCCTCCCCGCTTGACCATCATGATGACCACACCCCAAGTCCTCTATTTACAACTCATGTTTGAGGTTGGACGTCTCTGACTTGTGGTCACATACTGTGTTCACGCCACACATCTTTCATGACCCAAAGCCAAACCTCAGAGGACAGGGAAGTGTTATGTTTTTAGACTTCTGCTTTGAAAAGCAGAACCAGAGGCTAGCTGGGCGCTCCAGTCACCCTGCGCCCGAGCGTGAAGTGGAGTGCTTGGAAAGTCACCGATATGTCAGCATGCTGGGGATGTCTGGTCCCTAAGCAAGCTACCAGCTACTTCCACTACCTCAGCCCCAGGCCTCCCCCCTCCCCAAAGCGGGTCTTATTTAGGTAACTGGTGACTCAGCCATTCATACCCGAAAGCCAGATTCCACTTGCAGACCTGCAACTCTGGCTACTTTGAAGCTGAACTAGTATCATCAGGAAAGATATAGCTTCCCATCCCCCTATTCCACCGGGGGAGGCCAAGGTGAACACGGACCTTCCAAAGACTTCTGTTTCTTCCTCATGCAAAGTGACCTCTGTTAAAAAAAAAAAAAAAAATCCAAGCAGCTACTTGGACCAACTGAATTCGAATTCTAAACTGAAAAAAAACCAACAACCTTAAAGATGATGTTGTTCTGCCTAGTATCACAGTTTCCTCTTCAAGGGATGTCTCAGCAGCTCCACATCCATCTGAAACCCCACTTTAACTAGCCTGCCTGCTGCAGACAGACAGCATGGCCAGTGGACTTCGAGGTACTCGACAATTAGGATGTCCCCAGGGAATTTGTCTTTCAAATAAGTTTGGTTTATTCACACAAATATCCCTTACGAATACCCTGCTACAGATATCTCACCAACCGGGGAACAGTTGGCTGGGCAGGAAATACTGCTGCGGGATTCAGCTGGGGATTTTTCTACAGTGAGGACCCTGGGGGCTCAAGCCATCTCCACAGCGAAGCCCTTTCAGTGTGGCAGGCCGGCAGGATGGCACTGTTGGAGGCTTGAAAGGTCTTGGCCAGTGGCTAGTGCTAATAGATGGGCAGGCATGTGTGAACCCAGCAATGGTAGTACCAGAAGTTCAAAGGTCACTGGAGCCAGAGCCATCCTCCGAAGCCAATCTCAGGTCCTCTACTGAAGAGTATTCACACAGAAGCTAGAGAAGCCATGTCTTGGGAGCATGGTGTAAGATCTTCGAGAGCCTTCCCAAAGTTCTGATTTTTGTATCATTTCACTAGGCGGTGGTTTGGGGCTATTAGGATTCACAGCTTTCGGCTAGTCTCTAACCCACCAAAGCCGTCTTATGTGGTTCCATGGCTGGTCCATTAACACATTAGAGTTTGCTTCTGAGGACTGATTCTTTCCCCAGCTGCTTGGTGGCAAGCTTACAGGCTTATTCTAAGTCATACAAAATGGCTCCACTTAGCTTCCTAACACCCAAGTTTTTCATACTATGTGCATCTATATGAATACATGTAGACTTAATATAGGGTCTGCCGTCTGTATTTGTGGAGAACTAATCCTGAGCTCTCTAAGGATGCCAAAAATAAAAATTCAAGTGCCTTCTACAAAGTGGTGTAGTTTATGTATTTATGTATTTATTTATTTAATGTATATGAACACTCTTGTTTTCATGCACACCAGAAGAGGAATATCAGATTCTAAAAAACTAATTTCTGGGTAATAGCGTGTTCGTTTTTATTTTAATGCAATCTGCCGACTTGTTCCCCAAAGCACCAATTTATAGCTCTGCCAGTAGCTGAAGAGCCCTCTTCTCTCGTGTTGTTGAGTTACACTCCTGTTTATTTATATTTCTCGTTCTATATCTTCTTTCATGATCTGCCTCTTTACATGTCTTTTTCATTAATCAACAGGGGTGCTTGTCATTTTCTTATTGTTCCACACGTTCTGAATGCTGGTCCTTTGTGTCTGCCAGGTTTAAAATATATTTTCAGTTTGTTGAACTATTCACAATTCATGTTTAGAAAATTGTGACTATGATTTATCAAAATAACTGGTTTTTTTTCTATTACTGATTATGCGTTGGGCACCCACTTTTTTTTTTTAAGAGTGCCTATCTACCCTCAGAAACTTAATCACAGAGTGCTACATTTTCTCTTTGTCTGTGGTTTCATTTCTGAACTCTTTATTCTATTCCAGCAACCGGCTTTGTTTTTCCTGTTTCAAAAATTCTTACTGTGCGGTTTTGTTGCAAAGTGACTTCTTCAGAAGCTCTCCACACTGAAGAGTTTCTCATGGTGGGAAAGGCAAGATGGGTCAAGGGCCCTTTGCATGGTCAGTCTAAACGGAGCTCAGAAAAATCAGTGGAGATTTGTCTGTTCCAGTGAAGGAACTATCAGGCACCAAGTGTCTGGAATCTAACCTCTCCTTCTCTCGCCTTAGCTTTTGTAGGAAGAGCACCCATCCCCCCAGCAGGGTGGGTGTGAACTGTCGGTATCTGGGTTAGAACGCTTAGTGCGTCCACCCAGAGAAGCACCTTCATGCATGGTAGGATGCAGTGTCGATTTTATGCACCATTTCACGTTAGTAGGTTTTTAGGAGCAGCTTCTTGATCCAAATACCAGTTACAACAGCACTCTGAGAAAACAAATCCAACTTGCAAAACCAGATGTGAGGTTCTGGACATGATTCATAGCAGCAGCTCCGCTCTCTGCATTCCTAACATGTAACCCCAGCCAGCGTGCTCCCAAACGCAAAGTCAGAAAAAATAGTCCCTGTCTCTGCCTCCCACAGAAGGCAAAATGCTAAAACGCTTCTAAATACACCCAAACTTTATACTAAAACTGATCATATTTTAAAGTGGAATAAGGTCACACCTACTTAAGAGCCCTTCCCACCCTCTAGGCCTGATCCTCAAACTCTGTCTCTGAGGACAACCATGTTTGTTGTCTGTACTCTGATTCTACCTCAGTAACTTAGTGGATATCAAAAAGCGTGTGCACGTGTGTGTATGTGTGTGTGTGTGTGTGTGTGTGTGTGGTGTGTTTTACTGGAGAGATAGCTCAGTGGTTAAGAGCATATACTACTCTTGGGATTCCCAAGTTTAGTCAGGGTGACTCATAATCACCTATAAATTCAGCATCTGGGGACTCAATGCCCCTAGCCTCCATGGACACTGGCATGCAAGTTTCTCTCTTTTACGCGCGCACACACACACACACACACACACACACACACACACACCAATATTTTAAAACTGTGCATATATACAAATAAATATACATTACAGAAAGAAACAGAATTTTCTGTAATTTATTTGTATTATGTATCTGAGTGCTCTGTTTTCATGCACAGCAGAAGAGGGCACCAGATTTCATTACAGATGGCTGTGAGCCACCATGTCGTTGCTGGGAATTGAACTCAGGACCTCTGGAAGAGTAGCCAGTGCCCTTAACCGCTTAGCCATCTCACCAGCCCTGATTTTTAAAGATGATTTTATTTATTTTTATATTACATTAGTGTTTTGCCTGCACGTTTGTCTGTGTGAGGGTGTCAGATCTCCTGGAACTGGAGTTACAGACAAGTATGAGCTGCCACATGGCTGCTGGGAATTGAACCCCATGGTCCTCTGGCAGAACAGTCACTGCTCTTAACCACGGAGCCACTTCTCCAGTCCGAAACAAATTTTTATTTCAAGAAAAAGTCATATAATTCAGGTTATCTTTATATTAAAGCCTCTTTTCTCCTCTGTTTTGTTTCCTAACTCAACTATACATTTCACAAATCAGACAATTCCAGGTGACATTAGTTATTTCCAACATCTACTCTCAAAAATAATAAATAGGTTTCCCTATCACTTAGCATCTTCCAGAAAGTCCTAGAGACTAAAGAGCAAGAAATTCTTTGTGTGTTTGTGTGTGTGTGTTTGAAACAGGGTTTCTCTGTACAGCCTTGGCTGTCCTGACTCCCTTTGTAGACCAGGATGGCCTCAAACCTGCCTCTGCCTCCGGTGTGCTGGGATTACCGGAATGTGCCACCACACCCTGCTAAGATGGAGAAATTGTTACTCATGTTTTGCAGCATGGATGCATTTCACCCGCTGGTAAGGCCCATGGACCTCTAGTTAGAAGAGGAGCTGAAATCACACAAAGCAAAACATGTAGGATTACCACAGCAATCAATTGTTTTGAAATATAGCTCTCAGAATGTTTAGTCAGTAACAGTAGCAC